ATATATATATATATATATATGTATATATATATATATATATATATATATATATATATGTATATATATATATATGGAATAACTCATCCATTATTCCAAGTTAGGATAATCATGAAAGAAGATTAGAAGTAGGAGGGAGTCCTGACTGAGAAGTTATAGGTTCTATCATACAGGTAGGATATATGTTCTTAGTTTTTTTTCTTTTTAATCTATGCTTAGGGGAGATGAAAAGAATATTAGATCATCTCTTAAGGGATCTCTTCCGAGTCTTTGGGCCTTCTTTGAGTGTAGCCCTAGTCCATCGAGTTTTTATTTTATTTCCAAGATCTTGGAATCAAGGGATTAAAAGGTTAGAGGCATAAATGAAGAGGAGGCCCGGAAAAGAATATTTCTTTTTTCTTTATTGTTGGGCATTGTGAAAGTAAATGTAGTATCCATTCTCATGTCGTTGTTTCTTCCATAATCTCCTTAGTCATTAGCAAAGTGGCAGAGGGATTAGAAAGGGTAATATGAGAGGAGATGGTCAAAGACACAGAAGAAAACAAAAAGCCACTACCATCTCATGATTTATAAAATGATTTCAGATTACTAACAATCATCACTGACATGGAGTTGAATTTTGGCCACGATGCAGAAGATGATGAAATGTTGCCACTCTCACATGATCTCCCAAGAAACTTCGATAGGAGATTTGAAATAGCATGAGATGCTTGGTAGCAGGCAAAGGCATTGAAACATCTAACTTCTCTTTATTAGAGATCTACATCTTTTCAGCATTAAACGTTGAGGGGGCATATATAAGTCATCACCCTAATGCTTAGTATGGGCATCTTAGGTTGGGCTTCACCATTAAAGTGGGACTCAGTCTCATTTCTAGGAGAGATGAACCTGTTGTTGCTTGGATTGGCTTTGATTTGCTTTGAACCGGTGCATCTTTGGACTCAGACCCAAGGATCATAAAGATGATTGTCTTTCACCTTGGATTGTGATTCAAAAACCCTAGTTTTTCCCTTATCAGAATTATTGATAGTGATAATCTCTTCCCTCACTAAGGGATCACATACTTTTAGTTTCTACTGATTCAAAGAAGGATTCAATCTCAATTTTACCCTTGTAGCAATGATTTAGAAAAATCGATTATCTTTGCTCCCGGAACATGATAAAGTATACTCAATCTATCTTAAGAGACTCTCAAGCATTACAATAATTTTGTAAAGAAATTGAGGTTGATGGAAATTACACTCAAGTAAGTGCAAACACAACTATTTCTCTAGGTGGCTGGAAATTTATATTATATGGTATTAATTAACGTTAAGGCTGGACCTAGTGAGAACTTTAAATATATTTTCTTCTAAGAAATTTTTGAAATTAAAAAAAATCAGCTGCTAAATCTATTACCTATATCGTGGAGACTGTACTTTGGCGTGAAGATAGGATTTGAGGAAGATGAGGGGAGTAAGCCTCAGTAAATTTATCGTGGAGACTGTACTTTCATCATTCTCTAGCATTGAAGGTCTCTTGTGGATCAAGTTCAAGGGTAAAAGAAGAAGAGTCCTGCATTTTATCTAACTTTGCTTTCATGGACTCATTCGGCTTCCATAAGTCGACTCATTGGACTCGTAAGAAAAGTCCAGCCCGAGGTGAAGGAAAACTTCCTTAAAAAACCTCCTTCCAAGTGGCCACAACAACCTAAGATGCTTTCGTAGGGCCTGTAGAGGAATCTGCGGCATGATTTGTTAGCGAAGAATGCTTCTCTTTCTCCGGAGGATCATGAGGAGGAGGAGGTAAGGGGGGGAAGGGCTAAAAGGGCCCTCCCCTTTAGTGATGCATTTCATTTCTTTGATTGTGATCAATATAGAAAACAACAAAGTCAACTGTCGCTGAAACTTTCACCAAATATTAGGACTCACATAAAATGTGGGTAAGACAAATAGTTAGGTTGATGAGAGCCAATAAGCTCCATAACATAAAGGTGTGTTGGGTGACAGAATGTTTATGCGGTTGCTTTCCGCACTTATTCTCATGGGAATACAACAAGATCACTAATCTTCCACGGATTCATTCATCTATACGGTTGCGACACGAAGAATTACATGGATATGGGCAATCAATCTTTCTAACAACACTTCGCCCGGAGTACCAGTCTCCCACAGCTTTTGCAATTGACTGCAGGGAAGAATATGGATAAAAAACAAAATCATGCAAGCAAGAAAAATAAATGTTATAATGATGATGAGATGACTGCATTCAATTATTACCATCTTATCAATCATCGGGGAATCAGTTCCTGACCATATGTCGCGACTCCCTGACTGGCAATGAGCATAGCATGAGATTATGAACATGCCCGTAGATGAGTTGCCACTTGCCGGCAGTGCACGCAGAAACTCTGACCTGAAATCTGTCATTGGCATGTCCAGTCATTAGATTCACTACGTAAATCAAGAATCTATTGGCAGGGGAATTGGGTGACAACCATCGCCAAGTACACGAAATCAGACAAAGTTTATCATGGATTCATGAAATGAAATAGAAGATTTCCGTAACTTTCTATTATGGATGTTGATAAATAATAGTTGATCAAGCAGTTCAAAGCCAAGTTTTATGTTGCCAACCTTGCATTTTCTCAAGTTGATCTGACGAACAACTCGTTATATTAAGCTTGCAGGCATTCCAACTTTTGTGGGGATCAGCAGAACTTGGTGCTAAAGTATTCTTGATCTGCAATAGAAACAACTCATCAATTAGCTAGCGTATTCAACGGGCAATGGCTTGCATCACAGAAAGGAATATGTCGAGGAAGGGAATGTTTATCATCCTAATATGCAAAAGCATCACAGCATTGCTTTGCAGCACCAGAGCAACGTGAAGTGAGAGTAACTTGGTGAAGAGAAACAAGAAATCTATGCTGTAGTAGTTAAAGAAGCACAAGAATAGGAATGCATTGTAATTTGTTACTGTCCAACAACAGATACCTAATATTGCTCACTCATCCTATGAAAGTAGAAGAATCATCTTTGCTATGCTGAATTGGTACCAACCCCTCGATGAGTATTTTACAGAAGACAGTAGCTAATTTTCGAGAAAGCTGTTACCTGCCAGGCATCATACGCTGCGTTCAGTATAAAGAGGGGCGTGCTCATTTTAGGCACCACATTCTGTGGGAAAAAGCACTGCATTCACAATTTGATATATTTGTTCAGATGACATGAGATCCTTCATATATATTCCAAATGCAAACATACTTCTTACCAGGCTAGGTGATAAGCTTGAAGTGCATGAAGATGGCAAATTTTTTCCTGACCCCTAGGAATTATACAAGCACCATACATCACTAAAAGAAGTTTGGGAGAGATATATATTACAGAGAATACTGCACATTAATAGGATGGACTACTGATTATCAAAGAATACAAGCGACAAGGAACTGACATGAAGGTTGACAACATCATTGTAAAGGGATCTGATAGAGGTCGTTCCAGTAATGTCCTTCCTGTTAGGAGCGATCATGATAATTCCAATTTATACCATGCTAAGAAAACAATATGTATGAGCAAAGGAACAAAGAACCCAAGGCAATTAATAAACTCACCCATCAATAAAATAACCAGCATCAGAAAAGCATTTAACTTTTGCACTTGCTGGTAGAAGACTGCGGAATTTGTCACAGTGTAGGATGGACGCCAATCCACCTGCTGAACAACCAGAAAGAAGTGCCTGCATGCAGCCCATTCACCGGAGTATTAATTATGACAAACAAATCTTTGCATGATAATAGACTTTTACCACTCTACAAGTACATACATTTTCTGCTTTGTTCATTCCTTTTGCCAACAGATCTTCCATGATAGCGAGCCAAACCCGGGCTCCTCTGTAGTGAAGATTTGTAGCCTAATCAAATTTAGATGAGAAAAAAAAAAGCATTATTAGTACACAAATCTCATGCTTGTTTATGCAACGACGCAAATTTCATCCATCATGCGGACTTTTTGTTTAAAGAGCTTACAGGATCTACTCTTTCCACGTCTCCTGTAAACGATGAACCATCACAGTACCGAATCTTGACCCTGTTCCAGTTATAGAAGTCTGCACATTTTTAAGATGAAATACAAGGAAGTTAAATCAAAAGAAACATGTGTAAAAAAAGCATGGACATACACGGATATGTGTATGACTGTCTTTTGGATGAAATACCTAAAATACATTGGCGGAGAAGAAAAAATCTATTTGTAAAGAAGAGGGATGTCACGAAAGAGATACATTGGAGATAAGAAAGCAAACAACAGTAAGAATGTTAAGGCTCTCTCTCTCTCTCTCTCTCTCTCTCTCTTCTCTTCCACCAATTCGGCACCTCCTTGTCCAAATATTTACAAGCTTAAGATTACATGTAGAATTATTTTCATACAGTAATCTATCAAAAATACCATACCGGGATTATATTTTTTACTCTTTCCTAAAATGCCAGAGAATGAAAGTGGCTTCATATGATTAGAGGAGCCCCGGAAATTATTTTTACGCTCTAGACATTCTTCGACATTCCGGCACCATCCTCCTCCCTGCAAAGTAAGAATATATTAATCAAGGAAATTGCATCTTCCAATAAGTCTAAACATTTTGTGTACTTTATAGCAGATAGATTGTTTGATTAGTAGTACTATAATTTTTTTTTCTATATTATTTTCCTCCGTCCACAAACATTTAGCACCTACGTAATAAGACTGATGGGTTATCCATCCTCAATATGCATGTGTTGAATAATGTATTGCAGGAATATAGAAGACGTAGAGTTATAAACTAGCAAAAAAATTTCACATTTGAAGTGAGCATTTCAATCAACTTGTCTATGCTGGAATTTTCAGGATTATTAGTTGCCAAATGATGCTTCTACCTAAGTAGCAAAAGTCACCATTCCTCGATCCCAGTAACTAAAATAACTTTTAACAAGTATCCAATGGTAACATTTTTGGTGACAGAATGGTATCACGAATATTGCTGGATCCGGGTTCCTTATCGACCTACAAATAGTAAATTTGAATATCCAAACACCTGCAGGAAGATGAACTGACCTCCATGTGAACCAACCAGTTATTTGCTCCGGAGCCACTCCCAGGAGAGAAATGATATGCTGGGGGACTTCCATCCAGGCAGACTGAAAAATAATGTGAAAAATCATGAGTTCTCAGTCATTTGTTGAATCGAAGCCACTGAAAGCTATACATAGGATTTCAGATTGAATGTCCGACAAGAACATACTCTGAAGAGTATTATCACATACACTTGTTAAAAGAGGTCTCAGGAAGAAATAGTCATGTGTGAGTACTCTGGACTAAGCATACGTTTGCGAATAATCATACCTGCTCCTTTAGCTACTGCACTATGCAAAAGAGTCATGGGTACACCTAAAGCATCCACTTCCAGAGAGGCCAGAAGAAAGAAAAAGCAGATGACAGGATAAATCCATGTTCCTGATTTAGCACCCACCATCCTGCAGTATCGTTTCAAATTTTATCGGCAGAAAAGAAAGAAAAAAAAAATCTGAAGAGTCTACAGATATAAATTTATCAATTTAAATAAATATAGTTGATGATTCGTTCATCTACTAGAACGATAGCATTTAGAAAGCTATACATATGTTGAACCATTATTTAAAGATTGAAACAAAGACACTCGTTAATCTTATCTAACTGAAAATTTCCACTTCAAATTAGAATGGAAAGGAACACACTGGCTATTAATTCTTCCTTCCATGATTAAACATGATATAACCTTGTCGGCTTTTAGTATCCTACCATGTTAAAGAAAACCCAACGGTTTGTTCGTCATCGTCATCGTGATAGTTTTAATGGCGGACTGTGAGCACACATAGAGATAAAAATTTCCTACGTATGAAGGATCGACGGTGAAGTAACATGTGACGCTGTCTAACCATTAAAAGAATACAATAAAAGACCTAACACAATCGACAATATTGTAGATCGCGTGACCAGCTATATATATCATAAGTGCATGCCAAACGTTTATCTGCTTAATGGTAGTAGCTTTCATGTAGTTAGAGAATCAAAAGGCAGGACGCCCTTTTATCTATTTCTCAACACTTAGCCCTGACAAGAACAGATCAGGCAGCCTTCTTCACACTATCAAAAGTACTGAGAAACTTCGTCATAAAATGCATGCCACCTGAACTAAAAAAAGTAAAAAAAAACAACAACAACAATCCGAGAAAATCCACGACCTAAACCATGAGATAAGGGACGGGAAATAACATCTCCCAAAAATTATGTTGCACTAAGGCGCATGCTTTCGTCGAGTATCACAGAGAAGTGCTGCAAAGAACTAAGACACCGGTCTGGCTTTTTATCTACTACCTGAAATGTTAGTGCCGAAGCACTGTGAAAAGCTTTCTTCAAAGCAGAGGCCCAATAGCAGACAATACACTCAGAACCTGAAGATACAACATATATAGTGCCTCTTCTTTACTCTCTCTCTCTCTCTCTCACGGAGCGAGCTATTCACGCGGAGACGCAGAGACCGCGTCCCTTCCCTTCTCGATCTGTCGGAAGTTGGACAAGTTCGTGGTTCTCCGTTTTCTTTGAAATGGACCAGCTAAGACCTATTTTACGCCACAAATTAATAGTTATTTATGCAAACCCTCTGGCTGGCTTTAAAATGGACGAGTTAAGATCTCTTTTACGTCATAATAAATAATATTTCTACGAACTGACGCGCAGGTTGCGGTCGCGATCGTTAAGAGTTCTTAATAAAGGGAGATAGTTACACCCCTCAATCTGTATCCTTAAATACTTTCCATTTATAGCCTTAAGAATTTAGTAATTTTCACTGTATATCCTAAGTCAAAATTATAGTTTTACCCTTTAGAAATTTATAATTTTTTATTTATATTCATAATTATAAAATTAATTAATTTAATTATTATAATCAAATATTTTGATCATGATCATTATTATATTTTAACTACTTGACTTGATTTAGATTTGATCAAATAAGTCTTGATTTAATTTAAGAAAAATTAAATTTTGATCAATTTTAATTTTGATGAGCCTAATTGAATAAATTATTGGTCCAAATTTGTGAGCTCAATTTGGGTAGCCAAATTTTAGGTTTGTCTATTTAAATAAGATTGATCGGTGTAAGTGTTCCATGTAGAATTTAAAAATATATAAATTATTATTTTCTTTAGTAATTTTCACATATGACATATTGATAAAATTTTATATATGATAAATAAAAATCAAATTATTATTTTTAGATATTTATTTGTTTATTTACATGTATATGTTTAAAATTATAAAATAATATTTATTTTTCACATAAAAGCATAATTTATTATTTATCATGATTATAGTTATCATATGAGTTTTTTATATTGATTAATATTCAATAATAATTATTATTATTAACATAAATTAGATTAAAAATTTTTTATGAATATTATTTATAACTTATATTTATGAGTTTTATTTGAATGATAGTTATCAAAGTAGCTAAGGATGATAGACTTATGAGATGTGAATTATAATAAAGATTTTATTATTTATATAATATTTTAAATTATATTTTAAATTATTATATTAATCATGTAGTCATCAAAATGGTACAGACCAATAACCTATAAAATTATATTAAAAAATTAATTATAAATACTATTAATAAAAATAATATTTACAATAGCATAAATAATTAGAATATTTAAATAATCTAAAAAAAATCTACTTTGAATAATTATGTAATAAGGTAGGATGATATTATCTTGGATATTCTTATAGTTTAATATTATATATCCAAAGTTAGCTATATATCTATGAGGATGACATCAATCCTTCATAAATAATTTTATATGAATACTAAATACATCAATATTCATCTAGGTAAAATAGAGATAAGGTTTGGGATTTCAATTGGAATCTAATCCTTTTTCTCATATTTTTGAAGATGTATTATTGTTCTTCGAATCTGATTCAATTTAGTTGTCAACGTCATTAATCCTTCCTTCAGTTAACCAAAGCCGATCAAATTGATAGATCAGGATGATGGGATTTCGACAGAGACAAAAAAATAAAATTTGATAGCAAATCCTGACACGCTACACCTTATGAATTCAGATCTATTTATAAGGGTAACAAGATATATCTTGAAAAGTTACATGCATTGTCATGCATCTAGTTTACGCCATTTATTATGATCCTCCATTTTCATATATCAGTTCCCAATAAAGAGATAAGAAAACTAAGTTAGATTTATTTTTTAATATAAATTTCTATACTAACTATAATATTAGTTCAGTGAGATGTGCAGGCATAGTCGGACTAGTATAATATAAATCTCATAGTCGAATTACTTTGGTGATGTTTAGGTCTCTCTTAGTATCTAGGTTTTCTGTTTTAAAAATAATCAGGAAAAAATTTTATTATATTAAATAATATGTAAGATGTTCATATATAGACTTGGACTTGAGACAAATTATACTACAGTACATCAACCACTAGTTTGTCTCAACACAAGCATTTAGTAGCCCAATATTTTTTTGTATGTCGTAATCCTAAGGGTGGTTTAGATAAACTAAGTTGCTGGCACATTTTAATGTTTCAAGTCAATTTTATATGTTAATTTCTATTATTCATTTTGTATAGGTGCCACGTTTGGAACAGAACGAAGTAGGCATTGATTTTACAGCTTTCTGTGATTTTGTATTAGGACAAATTTTTTGAAGAATTCGTTTCTTATTATTTTTGTTAAGTTGGAGATATCTTTGTTAACAGTGAATCCTCTGTTTTGTGTATATCAAGATGATTAATAAAATTATTGTGAGATTTTTCAGAGATTATTATCAATTATTTATGTAATTGCCAAGTTTATTAATATATATATATATATATATATAATTACAGGTTTTTTATTTACAATAAGTGTCCTCTTGTAAATAACACCAAAAATTATTCACATGGAAAAAACACCTATAGATGTGTTTATTAAACCATAATAAAAAAAATAAACTTTTTTTCAAAATTCAGATGAAGTTTTACCTTTAGTGTCAAAAACTACAGTTATAAGGTTATTGGATGGTTCTTATTGCCATGGTTTTTACCCGTATATAAAGTTTTGACTGTAATTATAAATCTCGAAGAATTTATATCATTTTTTCTCACTCTTTTTATAAACTCTAGAGAATACTTTCTCAGGATTCACTAAGGAATACTAAAAATATTCTTCACATCTTCGCACATCAAAATATAGAGATAAATAAGATATTTATAGAAGAACTAAATCTTAATTACGATGGTTTTCTTCTTTCATAATAACTTATTCTTGTATTAAGATTTCTTATCCCACCAGAATACTAACTCTAGCAATCTCAAAATACTTATTAATTCATTTAAACTTTTTCTTAATGAGTATTTTATCTACTTTTGTATCTTTTGAAAAAAAAATTATTTTACACTCTTTTTAATCTTCATCGCTCATCCTTTGTGAATCTTTAACCATTGAATCTTTTGAGTTTTTATACCACTTATTGGAGCCGGAGAGGGCAAAATTCAAAAAAGAAATATATTAGAGATCAATAATCAAAGGCATACAAGAAAGTCGATACAATATTAATGTGGTTTGACAAATCCAAGTTATATCCATGATAAAAATCAAATTCTTTATTATCATATGAGATCAATTATAACACCCTAAGTTATCCCTATTCAAATACATATTTCCTTATAGACCCTCTCACATAAATCTTAGAGAATTTATATCGTTTTCTCTTATCTTCTCTTGAAACCCTAGAGAGTATCTTAAAGTACTAAAGGTATTTTTCACACTCTTGCTCTCCTCCTTTCAAAATCTAGAGATATAACATATTTATAGAAGAACTAAATCTTAATTATTAAGATTTTTTTCTTCATGAGAATTTTTTTAAAACATTTTATTTCACTAGGACACTGACATTAGAAATATCAAAATACTTATCAATCTTAATAAAAATATATAAATAATATTTTATTATAATGCCATTGCACTACCTACGGCATCAAGGGTTATTGGTTAAGATCGTTTCACTTATGGATGTCAAAATTGGAAACCAATAGGTAATAAGAATTTTGAACTGGTAAGGTATACTAATACTATAGTTTATTCCTTTATCGAAAAATGTCCAATTGGATCAAGTGAAGAATGATTAGAACTTTAGATTTTAAATCAAATATCTTTTTTGCTTGTCAATTTCATTAGCGTTAGAATAAAGAGGCGAATACTCTCCAAGGATTCCTCGAGTCTCTAGTAAGTTTTAGCACAAAAGTTGCATGGAACCCTCTTACCGGATCTAATTTTCATACCTGGAGGAATAAGAGTTTGTTTTGGCATGTAGATAGATGAAGCTAACACAATGCCTTGAAGTATATATTAAAAATGGGAACAAATTGTTTTTTGTTTCTTCCTTGAAAGAGTCTTTGGACATCGAGGGTATGCAGGAAAAATTTTCAACCGTTGTTTCTTGCTCATCATTCGACAGGTTTTAGAGCACAGACACTATAAAATTACCAAGGCAATGGGAGGACTCAGGTTGCTAAGGAGGCAGACGAGTGGCGTGTAAAATTATGTCACGCTGAGTCTTCTTGTTCGCTCATAGCAATAGATTTTATCCCTCTATGATACAGTACATGGTAAATGTTAAATAATATCAAGATATAAGATAATAATTTTAAGTTTAACTCTCTTAAATTAAAAAAAAAATTAAATATGAAGTGAACAAAAATTAAAGTACTAAGAAGATAAGTTGAAGAGCTTATTACGAGCCTTGAGCGTAAAGAAACTCATAGTTCTAAAGGCTTAAGTTATGATTATACAAGTGATGAATTTTGAATACATGATTCCCTTACATCCAATGAAGCTACGTAAGACTCATCTATGAAGAGGTTTTTTTTTATACAAACGATAATATAAAGATTGACTTGTCATAGTTCTATGGTCGACTTCAACTTCAAGAATTTCTTGATTAGTTTAATACTATTAAAAAATTCTTTGAGTGCAAGAAAATATTTAAAAAGTAAAAAGTAAAATTAATTACTAAAAGGCTTCAAGGTTATGATTCAATTTGGTGAGACAAAGTGCAAGAGATGCACCTTCAAAAAGGAAAGATGAAGATTTCATTTTGGGAGAAGATGAAATCTCAAACTTCACGAGAATTTTTTTTCATCTGATTATGTTTAAACTCTCTTTTCATAATTTAATAATTTTTAGCAAGGTAGCAAAATTATCATCGACTATATTAAAGAATTCTATAAGTTAATGGCCTAAAATAATACTCAAGAGAGGGAAGAATAACTTATTGCAAGATATGTAAACAACCTATGAATTATGATTCAAGATGAAATAGAGATACAATAACTACAATAACTATGGAGGTTATCTAATGCTTATCAATTAGCACTACAAGTTGAA